ATTAAGGGCTGCAAGAGAGAGACAAGCAGTGATATACAAGGGAACACCCATAAGGCTAAGAGCTTATTTCTCAGCAGAAACTCTTCAGGCCAGAAGGGAGGGGCATGAAGTTCTGCAAGTAATGAAAAGCAAGAACATGCAACCAAGATTGCTTTATCCAGCAAGGCTTTCATTTAAAATTGAAAGTGAAATAAAGAGCTTCCCAGACAAAAAAAAAAGAAAAAGAAAAGAAAAGAAAAGAAAAGAAAAGAAAAGAAAAGAAAAGAAAAGAAAAGAAAAGAAAAGAAAAGAAAAGAAAAGAAGAAAAGGGCTATAGGAGCTCAGTACCACCAAACCAGCATTGCAAGAAATGTGAAAAGGACTGCTTTAAGAAAAAGAAAGAATAGTGAGAGAAAGGTACATCAGCATAAAGGGAGGAAGTGGCATGAAATAAGTTGATATCAATAGTAACCTTAAATGTAAATGGACTAAATGGGCAATCAAGAGACACAGAGTAGCTGAATGGATAAGAAAACAGGACCCAAATATATGCTGTCCACAAGAGACCCACCTGAGAGCAAAAGATTCACACAGGCTAAAAGTGAAGGGATGGTATAAAATATTTCAAGCAAATGAAAAGGAAAAGAAAGCTGGAGTAGCAATTCTTATTTCCAACAAAATAAACTTCAAAATAAAGGCCAAAACAATAGACAAAGATGATCACTATGTAATACTAAAGGGATCAATCCAACAGGAGGAAATAGCCTGTATTATGCACCTAATATAGGAGCACCTAAATATATAAAAAATTTCTTGGTGGACTTTAAGGGGGAGATTGACAGCAACACAATCATAGTGGGGGACTTTAACACCCCACTGTCAGCACTGGACAGATCATCAAGGCAAAAAATCAAGAGGGAAACACAGACCTTAAATGACTCACTAGACCTAATGGATTTAATTTACATTTACAGAACATTTTATTCCAAAGCAGCAGAATACACATTCTTCTCAAGTGCACATGGAACATTCTCCAAAACAGATCACATGTTAGGGCACAAGGCAAGTCTCTACAAATATAAGAAGATTGAAATCATATCAAGCATCTTCTTGGATCACAATGCCATGAAACGAGAAATCAACCAGTATAAAAAAACAGAAAAATAGTCAAACACATGGAGGCTAAGTAGCATGCTATTAAACACTGAATGGGTTACCAATGAGAACACCTCATGGAAAAAAATGAAAATTAACAGATAACAAACCAAAATCTATGGGACACAGTGAAAGCAGTCCTGAGAGGAAAATTCATAGCATTACAGGCCTATCTCAAGAAACAATTAAAAGATCTTATGAACCATCTAACACAATAACTAAAAGGCCTACAACAAGAGCAGCACAAAAAGCCCCAAGGAAGTAGAAGGAAGGGAATAATAAAGATCAGAGCAGAAATTAATGACATAGAGACTAAAAAAACAATACAAAAAAATCAATGAAACCAAGAGCTGGTTCTTTGAAAAGATACATAAGTTTGATGCACCTTTAGCCAGACTCACTAAGAAATGAAGAGAGAGGACCCAAATAAATAAAATCAGAAATGAAAGAGGAGATATAACCACTTACCCAACAGAAATACTATGGACAACTATATGTCCACAAATTGGACAACATGGGTGAAATGGACAAATTCCTAGAACCGTGCAACCTTCCAAACCTGAATCAGGAAGAGGCAGAAAACCTGAATAGGCCCATAACAACTAATGAAATTGAAGCAGTAATCAAAAAACTCCCAGCAAGCAAAAGTCCTGGACCAGATAAATTGACAGGCTAGTTTTACCAAACATTCAAAGAAGAATTAACACCTATTCTATTCAAACTCTTCTAGAAAATTCAAGAGAAGGGAAAACTCCCAAACTCTTTTTATGAGGCAAGCATCATCCTAATCCCAAAACCAGATAAAGACACTACAAAGAAAGAAAATTACAGGCCAATATCCCTGATGAACATAGATGCTAAAATCCTCACTAAAATACTAGCAAACTGGATCCAGCAATACATTAAAAAGATCATACAGCACGACCAAGTGGGATATATTCTGGGCATGCAAAGCTGGTACAACATCCTCAAATCAATAAATGTGGTACATCACATTAAACAAAAGGAAGGACAAAAATCATATGATCACATCAATAGATATAGAAAAAGCATTTGACAAAATCCAGCACTCATTTCTGATAAAAACTTTCAGGAAAGTGGACATAGAGAGATCATACCACAACATAATAAAGGCTATATATGACAAACCTACAGCCAACATCATACTCAATGGGCAAAAACTAAAACCATTTCCCTTAAAAACAAGAACAAGACAGAGATGTCCACTTTCACCACTCTTATTCAACATAGTACTGGAAGTCCTTGCCACAACCATTAAACAGGAAGAAAACATAAGAGGTATCCAAATTGGAAAGGAGGAAGTAAAACTGTCATTATTTGCAGGTGACATAATATTGTATATAGAAAACCCTAAAGAATCCATCAAAGTACTACTAGATTTGTTAAACAAATTTGGCAAGGTAGCTGGATACAAAATCAACATGTGGAAATCAATGGTATTATTATACACCAACAATGAACTTTCAGAGAGAGAAACTACAAAAACTACAATACCATTAACCATTGCAACTAAAAAAAATAAGATACCTAAGAATAAACTTAACCAAGAATGTAAAAGACCTGTACTTGGAAAACTATGGGACACTGAAAAAAGAAATAGAGAAAGATATAAGCAGGTGGAAGAATATACCATGCTCATGGATTGGAAGAACTAATATCATTAAAATGTCTATAGTACCCAAAGCAATTTATAAATTCAATGCAATTCCTATTAAAATAACAACAGCATATTTCACAGATCTAGAACAAATATTTCAAAAATTTATATGGAACCAAAAAAGACCCTGAATAGCTGCAGCCATCTTGAGAAAAAAGAACAGAGTGGGAGGCATCACTTTGTCAAACATCAAACTGTACTACAAAGCCACTGTAATCAAAACGGCCTGGTATTGGTACAACACCAGATATATAGATCAGTGGAACAGAAAAGAGACCCCAGAAATAGACCCACGACATTATGGTCAGTTAATATTTGACAAAGGAGGCAGGAGCATAAAATGGAGTAAAGAAAATCTCTTCAATAAGTGGTGCTGGGAAAAATGGACAGATACATCCAAAAAAATGAAACTAGACCACCAATTTTCATCATACACAAAAATAAATTGAAAATGGATAAAAGACTTAAACAGAAGTCATTAAACCATAAAATCCCTAGAAGAAAACAGGCAGTAAAGTCACAGACATCCCAAGTAGTGAAATTTTCACTGACACATTTCCTAGGGCAAGGGAAACAAAAGAAAAAATAAATATATGGAACTACATCAAACTAAAAAGCTTCTGCACAGCAAAAGAAAACTGTCTCAAAATACAAAGGAACCCCACAGTCTGGGAAAACATATTTGCCAAGGATGTATCTGATAAGGGGCTAATTTTTAAAGTGTACAAAGAACTCATACTACTCAGCAAAAGGAAGACAAACAACCCAATTAAAAAATGGGCAAAGGGCCTGAATAGACACTTCTCCAAAGAGGACATATAGATGGCCAAGAGACATATGAGAAAATGCTCAATGTTGCTAGTCATCAGAGAGATGCAAATTAAAATCACAATGAGGTATCTCTTCACACCTGTAAGAATGGCTACCATCAACAAATGACTTGTGTTGGTGAGGGTGTGGAGAAAGGGGAACCCTAGCACACTGCTGGTGGGAATGCAGACTGGTGCAACCACTATGGAAAATAATATGGAGGTTCCTCAAAAAATTAAAAATGGATCTGCCTTTTGACCCAGTGACCCCACTTCTAGGAATATTTCCTAAGAATCTTGAAACACTAATCAGAAAGAATATATGCACCCCTATGTTCATAGAAGCACAATTTATAATTGCTAAGATCTGGAAACAGCCCAAGTGCCGATCAGTAGATGAGTGGATAAAAAAGCTCTGGGACATTTCACCATTGAATATTATGCAACTGTAAAGAAGAATGATCTTGTACTCTTTGGGACAATATGGATGGACCTGGAGAAAATTATGCTAAGTGAAATAAGCCAGGCAGAGAAAGACAAACATCACATGATCTCCCTTATATGTGGAATCTAAAGAACTTAATAAACTGATGAACAGAATAGATTCAGTGACATGGAAGCATACATTAGACTGATGAATTTCAGAGGGATTGAGGAGGATGGGTGGGTGTAAGGTGAGAAATTAACCAAAGAAATTATATACATATATGCACAACTGAAGGACAAGGACTATGGTGTGGAGATGGACTGGCGAAGGGGATGGGACAGGCTGGAATGGGCATTGGGGGGAAAAAGGGACATCTGTAATATATTAAACAAAAGTAAGCAAAAATAAAAATTAAATTAAATTAAAATTTTTAAAAAAAGCTCTGCCATTCTAATCATGAAAAAAAAATTGAATTATTGATTTAAAGTGCATTTTCTTTATTATAGGTGATTTTGTGCTTTTTCTTACTTTAAGCATATTAATACCTTTAGTCAAGTATGTTGACCCCTGGGTAGCAGTCTTTCTTTTTAAGGTGACTTGATTTTATTATTTAAATCTCAGAGAGTAACACTACTTTTACCTCATTGTTGATGTTATTCATTTACTGAATAAACAGGGCTTGGAGCATTCTAAGACCTTGATATATATAGTGTGTCCAAAAAATAGTATTCACACACTTTGAATAATTATAAATACAGTGTTTATTAAGGTACATTTCCTTTTCAGAATTGAGCTATCAGCTGTTAAAGGGTATATACATCCTGGGGGGACACCCTGTATATATACTGCCACTGGGATGTTTTACCATGACTTTATTTAATGCAGATAGAATGGGGATTGGCCAGCCTTCACAACACTCACTTAACTGATATGACATATTATTTCATTGCAGCAATTCAGCTTTGTGTCATTGCCCACTGACGTGCTGGAAATTGAGGTGAAGGACAAGTTTGCCAAGAGCCGCCCTATCATCAAGCGCTTCTTGGGAAAGCTTTCAATGCCAGTTCAGAGACTCCTGGAAAGATACGCCATAGGGTAAACATGTGACTGAAACCTCAGTATCACTAAGCTTCAGCCTGTAGGCCTGCAAACTGCAACAATATAGTCTCAAAGACACTGAAACTAAAATAATGGTGTTGAATTTCCTTGGCTTCTCTCATTATGTTGCTTGAGTCACATTCAATTAAACAAGCCCTTCCCTTTCCCCTTGTTTGTGTATCACTGGTTACTGATGCAAGAGATTTAAAAAATCCTAAGACAAAGAAGGCCTTAATTTTTTTTGTACAAGTAGAAATTAAAATTTGTTTTACTATGAAGAATATTTTATTTGTATGCTTGTTTTGTGTGTAGGATTTAATCATTTGTGACAGTTCCATAACAAGATGAAATGCTGGGTTACTAGAATACCTTAGAAAAAGCTAGTATTTTTGAAAATTTTAGATGCTATGTGTGAAATTTTAAAAGCATAAATTCTTGTGGAACAATAGCAATTATGTTCCTTGCAAAATTTAGTTGTATATAAAAATATGTTTCTGTGTTTTATAATTTTTACACTCATGTCCATTCATGGTCCTCATTAAAGTGAACTCAGAGCAGATAAAATCCTTACGTATAATGTATATTTCCTTAGATAATAGCAACTATATTTGAAAACACTAGGTATAGCTCTCTGGCCATGAACGTATGCTTCAATACAATGTGACCCTCAGAACGATATCAAAAGAATGAGAAAAATTATTCAGAATTTCCAAGTGTCCTAATTTAAAGCTCTGGATTTTCAGAGGAACTTTGGACTCGCTAATGGTTATCAGAAGGACCTTTAATTAGAAAGTTATAGTACATGTTCAGCTGTGTGCCATTAACTCTCAAACCAAGGGGAGCTTACATGAAGCTATAGCCATGTGTCAAACACAGTGTTTGCACTTTATATTCATGCCTATGAATGTAAATAAACAAGCAAAAAAACATGTACATAAACAATGTAAAGTAGTTTCTGGCACATAGTAGGAACTCAGAAGAGAATGATATTCCTTGTGATTGCTGTTATTTAACATTTAGTCTTCTTCAGGTGCTGGGACTGAGGCATTATAGCCATTCATTCTTATAACAAATCCTCTGCTTAAATAGGGTAAATAATTGCTTAAAAGGCTTGTGAGTGACAGAGGTACAACGAAAGTTCAAACCCACACCTGCCTCTCTTCAATGTACATGTGCCCTCCCTGCAACAGGCGCCTCGAAAGGTTCCTACGATTGATTCTCAAGTTTATCATTGGCCACACTTTTCATTTCCCTCTCTGCCCTTCTGTCTTCTCTCACAGCTGTTAACACCTCTGCCAGAGGGTGGACTGGAGGACATGAGGAGGGTCTAGGTAGGATTCTGTATACCCCAGCACTGAGCACACTGCTGTCTAGTGTGTATCAGATATTCAATTAGTGTCTGTTAAACTGGACTTCCCTCCCCTTGCTCTCTACAGCCATAGAGAGAACTCATCTGTTCTTCCATGTTGAGTACCTTTAATAAACCAAAGCTGCTGCCTCATTTCTTTACCTAATTGTCCCACCACCCTGGACTCCTACTTCTACTGTGGAAAGATACATCCCAGGTGGTGAAAGCAGGCAACGGAGGTGGGAAAGGGTCTCCCCTACCAGAACAATGTCCCACAGTGTTCTTGCCACCCAGGAAAAAGGAGAAGCAAATATAGAGTATAATTGAGTTTCAACCCTGTTTAATATGAAGCAACAGAAAACATTAGAGGCACTTTCCTCTCACTGTATCTTCTCCTGACACACATGCACTCTTATTTCCAACGCTTTCTTGATTCTTTTCCTATAATAGTCCAGCCCTCAGCTGGCCCCTTGACTCCCCTGAGTCTGCTAACCCCAACCAGATCAACTTCATGTTAGAAATACCACCTGCAGCCTTGAACCACTATTTAGCAGTCCTGCCCTATGCCCCCAAGTGGATGTAAGCTATTTAAAGCCAGGGGCTATGCTTTACATGCTGTCAAAGTAAGAAACATTTAAACCTTTGGAGAATTTTTGTGAGATTATTTGAGCCAAACTGTCAACAAATTTCAGGAAGCAGAATCTCAACAGATTGAGATAATATTCTGGAGAATGGCAGTTTTTCACCTTGTTTTATACATTACAATCAAAAGAGGAGACATAAGTGGGTTACATGAAATCCATTGGTGATAGATTAGGGAGGCAGGGGAAAGCAAAGTGGGGAAACCTCTGGGATTGGATAAAAAGTAAAATGATAGACACACTCTTCTTTTACTTAAGTGGGTACAGAATAGTTAACAATCAGTAACTAATTTAATGACAATGAGGTGATTTGTGGTCTCTGCAGAGCAGTGTCTGTGCTTTGAGGGGACCAGAAAAGGGGGAATGACTTTGACATTCCAATGATATGTTATCATAGATATAAAAAGACAATAGACAGGCTCAGTTAACATAAAGATTGACCTTTGTCAGGGAAAATACTGGCCTAGGATATGACTACCTACCATAAACTGCTTTTAGTTAAAAATTCTAATTTCAGACCATTCTTTGAGGTTACTTTAGGTCTCCGAGTTTACAAGGCTCCCATGCAGGCCTTCCCTGAGCTAGTCAGGTTAGCATGTGGCCCCTTTTCGTCCACAATGCTTTGTACCAACTGCAACACTTTTTACTTGACACAAGCTCAAAAATATTTGTTGATGAACTAGGTGAAAAACAAAGAAAAGCTCGAAAAGCAAATGCAAAGCATAATAAATTTAACTTTGTGTCTCACTGTCTAATTGTCTTTAGGCTTCCTCTGATTTCAACTGTTTTAGGTTCAGGATATCTTTCTCATGGTCATAAACCTACTTCATAATATTAACCAATGCTCTTTCTAAATAAACAATATATTGTGGCTCATTCTATTTTTCCTGCATATAATGCTTTATTTAATAGACTTCCATGGAAGTTCAAGACTAAACCATGGCTTACCAAAGAAAAATACTAAGTCATTGGCTCATTGGGCTATATGTTGTTTGTCTCATAGTGCTGGTGTTTTCTAGAAAGAGACATTAAAACACTTATTTGAATGTCACAAGTGATTAAATAGAATGAATTCAGAATCATCTGAGTAACAATTGGTTTTTAAACATGTACTTGTTATTACTGGGTTCACTAGATTTGTTAATTCATATGGATATCCCAAGGTAGTTACCCTTCTTATTTAGGTCAAGTTAGGGGGCAGTGTATTCTGCTGAAGCTTCATTGTTGATGAACTATAAAAGCAAAGTTTCAGATTGATTTCCCTGGATAATTTTCTTCTTAGTAATTAAAAAATTGCCTTTAGTGTGCAGAGGGGATGGTGCCAGAATCCAGGGCAGAGTTTCAGAATGTCTATGTGGGACCCTGGATTTGATATAATTGGAAGTCACAAGCCAGAGAACCCAGCCTACAAGTCTTGCTTCACTCTGCCCTGTAGCAGGTCCCTTTCTGAAGCACTCCATAGCATCTTCAGTAACCATGATAGTATCTTCTTAGACATTATATATTTACTGCAAGACCTGCACCTATTGCTGTCACTGTCCATTATTAAAGGTGTATTTGGAAAATGTCGACATTATCCTTTGCTTGCATAGAGAAAGCAAACAACGGATATCTATATCTTTATTTTTTTCTCTTTAGAACACAGATTGGTAAACTCTCTGTAAAGTGCCCATTAGTAAACATTTTTGACTTTGTAGGTAATAAGGTCTCTGTCTCAGCTACTTAACTCTGCCATTGTAGCATGATAGCAGCCCTAAACATTAAGTAAATCAATAAACATCCCTGTGTTCAAATAAAACTTTCATTAGTAGAAACTGAAATTTGAATTGCATATCATTTTAATTTGTTACAAAATATTACTCTTCTTTTGCTTTTTTTCAACCATTAAAAATGTAAAAAGCTCATGGCTGTACAAATATAGATGATGGGCCAGATTTAGCAATGGGCTATAGTTTGCTGACTTTTACTTTAGAATATTTGATAAGGATTTCTTGAGGTTTTTCATTGTTGCTGATCAGATATACATTCCCATCTTTATCTTAGGACCACCTTATAGGTACTGGAATAGATTATCACCTCCTAATAAGAGGGCTGCCCTGGCATGCCTGTCTCATCTGCTGGTATGGTGTTTGGAAGAAGAGGTATTCATCAGATCTGTGATGGTGCTTATTTTCTTCTAGGGATAGGGTGGTCAGCTACACACTCGGGCGCAGGCTCCCAACAGATCATGTCAGTGGACAGCTTCAATTCCGATTTGAGATCACTTCCTCCATCCACCCAGGTATTTTCAGCATAAACTTCATGTCTCATCCTAGCTTAATGTCATAAGGTTAGATGGTGGAGTGGGGATTAACAATAAAGCCAATGTAGGTATGGAGCCATGTTTAATTTATCATTTTACTTCCAGCACCCACATAGGAGGTGCTCAGTAGATGTTTAATCATTGCATACATGAGTGAATAAATGAAGGAATTTGAGTATGAATTAATGTGATACATGTCTTATTGTTGAAGAACAATGATTGCACAATGGTTTTTTTTACACTATCACAGGGAAAAACAAAAACTATAAACAGAAAATTTCAGAATCATCCAACCTTCAGTTTTTTGAGGCAAAGCACATTTCCAAATAAGAATGATGAGATGCCTCATAATTCCACTTTTTCTCTTCACCTACAACTAATGCTGAGAATTGTTTGGTCCTCCTAGGCCACAGTTATGAGTTGCTGTTAAAGCTAATGATGCTTTTGAGAACTCAGAGTCTGGAGTTTATCACTGCCCATTCATTAAATTCCAGTTGCACTTTCTTTGTTCAATATAATGTAAGAAAATATCTGACTGGTGTTTTTTTTCCCTTTCAAATTATCCTTTCCTGTATTCTAAGAATAAAACTGTCTCTTTCCTTGGTGTAGCAGTAAAGACAGCCTTATGGCTCACCAGAGAGGTGGTTTTCCTTCAATGTGTGAATCGCACTAGTATGTTTGAAATGAGAAGTTCATATTTTGCAGGAATCAAATAAAGCAAGCAAGTGGGGGAAGGTACAGGTTGCTACTCCTTGAATAGTTACTTCATGTGGAGACCTTGTTTATTCTTCCACTGCAATAACTTCCAAATGTTGGAAGACTTTCAGTCTGAGCTACTGAATAACTGGTTGCTGCCATCATCTAGCCCTTTTCTGTTCTTTAGTTGCCAACAACCCAACTTACCCATTCTGCCACCATGAGGGACCCAGCCATAAGAAAAACTCTGAGCAAGTATAATTAACCTTGCCTGGAATGAGCAAGGAAATGTAAACACCCCTCCTCCATCTCTGAAGTCTTTCACATAATAAACATTGTTGAAAATTGAGGTAGCACTATGCTTTGGTTATTTTAACCAAAAAGTGAATTCCCTTGAAACAGAATTCAGAAATATATTATGACTAAATGTGTAAACTGTCATTAACACAAGAAGAACTCTTTTTTTCTTCTTCAGGTTTTTGAAGTACAGTCCTGGCACTTACCTGTAGTCTTGGCTTCATTATTAATAATGCTCCCCCTTTCTCTCAATGGTGTCTCTGTTTGGACAATAAATTATATGATCACAATAAAGGAAATAAGATCAAGCATGTAGGAGGAAAAGGAGTTTGCCTTTATTTATTTATTTGTTTGTTTGTTTATTTATTATTTATTTATTTTCACTTGTCTCCCTACCTTCCTCTCATTTGACAACTACCAGCTTGTTCTGCATATCTATGGGTTTTGTTTTGTTTATTAATTTGTTTCATAATGTTAGATTCCACATAAATGAAATCATACTGTATTTGTCTTTTTCCATCTGACTTATTTCACTTAGTTCATAATACCCTCCAGGCCCATTCATGTTGTCATAATTGCCAAGATTTTATTTTTTTATTGCTGAATAACATTCCATTGTGTGTATATAATACATTGTTATCCATTCATCTATCAGTGGACACCTGGATTTCTTCCATATCTTGGCAATTGTAAATAATGTTGTAATGAACATAAGGGTCTTTTTGTTTTTCTCAGATAAATGCCCAGAAGTGGTATTGCTGTTCTATTTTTAATTATTTGAGAAATATCCATACCATTTCCCATAGTGATTGCACCAATTTATAATCCCACCAACAGTGAATGAGGGTTTCCTTTGCCCCACATACTTGTCAAAACTTATTTCTTGATTTTTTTATGATAGTGATTCTGACAGGTGTGAAGTGATATTTTATTGTGGTTTTATTTTCCATTACTCAGGTGATTACTAATGTTGAGCATCTTTTCATACATCTGTTGGCCATCTGTATGTCCTCTTTGGAGAAATGTCTATTCAAGTCCTCTGCCTCCTTTTTAATGGCATTGTTTCTTTTTTATATTAAGTTGTATGAGATCTTTATACATTTTGAATATTAACCCCTTATCAGATATATCATTAGCAAATATCTTCTGCTATTCAGTAGCTTGTCTTTTCATTTTGTTGATGGTTTCCTTTACTGTTTAAAAACTATTTAGTTTGATGTAGTCCCATATGTTTATTTTTGCTTTTGTTGTCCTTGCTCAAGTAGACATATTCCAAAAGATATTGCTAAGAGCAATGTCAAAGAGTTTACTGCCTATATTTTCTTCTAGGAGTTTTATGTTTCCAGGTCTTTAATCCATTTTTAGCTTATTTTTGCATATGGTATAAGAAAGTGGTCCACTTTAATTTTTGTTCATATACCTGTCCTGTTTATCCAGCACCACTTACTATAGAGACTGCCTATTCTTGCCTCCATTGCCATGTATGTGAGGATTTACATCTGGGCTCTCTATTCTATTCTATTCCACTGATATGTGTCTGTTTTTGTGCCATTACCACACAGTTCTTATTTCTATAACTTTAATTTGAAATCAGGGTATGTTACATCTCACTTTGTTTTTTTTCAAGATTATTTTAGCTATCTGGGGTTTTTTTGTTGTTCCATATAAATTGAAGGATTAGTTTTTCTTGAAGGAAAACATATCCTTACAGAATGTTTCAGCTGAGCACTGGCCAATGAGAAGCCCTTATCAACCTCTACATCCAATATCCTAAAATAAAATTCCCTTAGGATGGCTTACATATACATGTCTGGCAGAGTACACTAACACCAAAATGCTCTCTTGTGGAAAGAATAACATTTTCCTCTTGCCCACAGATGATGAAGAGATTTCCCCGAATAGCCAAGCTGATTCAGTGGAAATTCAGGACAGCTCTATGAACAACCTGGTGGCAAGCAATCGTGGGGATCCTCTGCAGGATGCACCAGAGCCCTCTGGAAGCTCCCAGTCAGAGAAACCAAGGGAGGACAGCACCATTGTCACTGCAGGGAGTGCTACCCTGGAGCTTGCCAAGCTGGTAGAGGAAGTGTCCAGTACCAATGAGGCAGAAGACGACCATGGAACAGTCTCTATGGGACCTGATGGGGCTGGAGAGCTTCTGGTCCCCGGGCGAGAGGACACTGAGCTTGCCTTGAGTGCAGAAGAGCTGGCAGAGGTGCTGGACCAGGGAGGGGAGGCATCCCCACTGGAGCTGCTGGAGGACAGTGAAGCCCAGGACATTGGGGATCCTGTGGTAGAGGATGCGGTGAAAAAGAGCAGGACTGGGGGGCAGGAGGAAGAAAAGGAACAGGTGAAAGAGGAGGAGAAAGAGGGGGATGGGAACATGTCTGCTCTGAAACAGCAGGAGAACAACTTGCAGCTGCAGGCCACGGTGAAGAGAAAGAACAGGCCCTGTTCCTTGCCTGTGTCCGAGCTGGAGACAGTGATCGCCTCGGCCTGCAGAGACCCAGAAACCCCGCGAACACACTACATACACATCCACACCCTGCTGCACAGCATGCCCTTGGCCCAGGATGGCAGCCCCATGGAAGATGATGGCGCTGAGGAAGAACCCACGCTAAAGGACACCATGGAGAAAGATGGGTTCAGCGAGGGAGACACAGTAGCTACTGAGCTGCCTGCTCTGCAAGAAGGTTTTGAGGACCCAGAGGGGGCTACTCCAGGTACGATGCCCCCTGGCCTCTCTGGCTTGGCCAACAGTTCGGTCCTGGATGGCGACATGCACCCCAGCACCGGGAGTGAGAGTGACTACAGCCCCAGGCAAGGCGGAGACCACAGCTTTGAAGGCTGTGAAAGGTCCTGTTGCAGCCCCTCCTGCTACAGCTCCTCCTGTTACAGCACATCTTGCTATAGCAGCTCCTGCTACAGTGGCTCCTGCTACAATGGCAACAGGTTCACCAGCCACACCCGCTTCTCCTCCATGGACAGTGCCAAGATATCCGAGAGCACTGTCTTCTCCTCGCAGGATGATGATGAGAACAGTGCGTTCGAGTCGGTGCCGGACTCGGTGCAGAGCCCAGAGGCGGACCTGGAGTCTGTGAACTCTGCTGGGCAATGGCAAGACCAGCTAGCAGGCCCGACCGGCAGTATGACAGGGAGTGTGGCAAGAACTGTTGATGGTCTGGAATCTCCCATGGCAGGGTCAAGCAATCGGAGAGAAGGTTAGAACTCAAACCTGATCAGAGTGAGAATAAGACCACCAGGGGACATAGGTCTAACCAACATGGTTTAAAAAAAGAGTGAAAGGATCAGTCCTAAATGGGGTTGCTGCCAATGTGTATGCTTGTCTTGTACTGTGTTTAAGTATTTGTGACTACAAATAGCTTACACCCCACCACCTCTCAGATATACACCAAGAATTACCATTGCATACATGTGAGTGTGCACTTGTACATGCGATTCTGTGTTTTAACTCATCACTGTGGCTAGTGCGTATGTTACCCTTCCTGTCTTGACAGCAACCAGAGCATCAAGGCTAGTATCAAATGATACAAGCAGAAATGGTGGATAATGTGGAAATATCTAATGACTCCCCCAAATTTATTAAAGATCAGCAATAAATGTAATATAAGTTAAGGAACATTGATTTAACCTCTGTTTTAGAATTAAACTGTATACATATAGATAGGTATAGCCTACATATATTTCATATATTTTTTTAAATTTCTGATGTTCAATTCTGTTTATTGTTGTTGTTTTTCTTTTTTGTTGGTGTTTATATGTTTATTTGTTTGTTTTTTAAATATATCTTTATTGATTTCAGAGAGAGGAAAGGAGAGGGAGAGAGAGAGAGAGAAACATCAATGATGAGAGAGTCATTGATTGGCTGCAGCCCGAAACCCAGGCATGTGCCCTCACCAGGATTTGAACTCTGATAGCCTGGATCCTAGGTCAATGCTCAACCGCTGAGCCACGCCCAACCGGGCTATGTTTTGTTTTTTCTTTTCTTTCTTTCTTTGCTATTTAAATTAATTGGGAGGGAAGGAAAGTATGAATGGGTAAATCAATTTGTTTCAAGTCAGATTCTAATCCAAAAGATGCCACCTCTAGTTTTAAAATATTCAGTATTTTAACTAAAAAAGGTCCTTCTTAGTCATGCTTTAAGATCATATATGAAACTAATTTGCATTTCCTTATCTAGAATTGGGAACCATCTTCCAGTCAAGTGACAGTGACATAAAGGGAAATAATTCAAAGGTCACATAACAATATGAAAAAATTTCATTGTTTTAAAAGAGAAAAATATAGATTCTGCTATTTTACTGTTCTGCTGTTTAAATTAGCCTCCAAACAAAATATGGTAGTATGGTCTCTAGATTGTAACTCATGAAGGACCAGAATTGTACCTTCATTATGTTTGAATTCTCAGCACCTAAACAAATGCCTGGCACCTACAAATTTTTATAGGAACTAAAGTGTGCACACAAAACATAATTTTAAGTAGTCAACAATGCCCAATTCTACATTTCAGAGAAAAAAGGAGTGAGGAAAATGGCACATATGATAAGAAGTACAAAAAAAAATTGTAAAGGAAGAGAAACACAGGAAGGAAAACTATAGTGATATACAGTATACCACAGTGGCATACAAAATGAAAGGAACCCATGACAGTGAAAATGAGATGATCAGTTTCTTTCTTTAGCAAGGATGTTTTGAATCTCTTTGTTCTGAGCCCAATGCTATATGCTGGGTACAGGAAAATAGAATGACATCAGATAGCATATGGAAAGTACTTAATAATTACAACACAATTAAAAACAATTACAATATAAGGAGATTTGGGGATACAGGCATAAAAGGACACAACTAGGAGCTGGCAAGGATATTTTGGACCAGTGGTCGCAAACTTTTTCTATAAAGGGCCAGATAGTAAATATTTTAGGCTTTATGAGTCGAGGCAAAATCAAGCAACTATTCACACCCAAAGGCTATTTTTCTAACACTTTTACATTTAAAAATGTGATAAAAATGTGATAATTCTTACCTCAGAGCCATACAAAACTAAGGCAACCATTACAGCCTATGGGGTATATTTTGACCACTTTGTTGGGAGACAATCCACACAGGGTGAATTGAAAATTAGCTCAGTATAAATTTATATAAAAACATGTTTTACAAAAATTAAAAAAAAAAAAGAAAAACTGTCCATGCCCTTATCCATCAGGGAAAGCTCTACCTAACAGAAAGGACAGAAAGGTGCTTCCAAACCATAGCAGAAGTCTTTGCAGTGCAACTTCTAGCTCAATTCCTGAATTCTGCAGACTAACCTCAGAAAAGGTTATGAAGCACCTGCACATTTCCCTATGGTGATTACCAGGGGCAATTCGAGGATTTCTGAGAGGGACTGTTGATCTCATGAAAGCTGCACATATGTTAGCATTTGACTTCCCTCCATCAGTAGTGAGTCCTGAGCTAAGGGTATCAGTGTTGTAGATCTGTCCCTAACTGGCATTTGCTCAAAGAAAGCAGGGCTTTGACACAACCCACCTAATATAAGCATGTGGGTCCTGTTCTCCCATTAGAATCACTATTGCCCCCTTATGTGACTTCTAAGATTGCAAATTCTTTCACTGCCTTAGCCAAGGTAAATTGACTTGCACACATGCCCAGGTAGATGAGCCTACAGCAACTTATGGAAGATATATTCTTTATCTTTTTTCTTATTTTCCTTCTATAAAAACTTCCTTTTTAAACCTCAACATAAAATAGATTTTAAAAACTTTCTTAAGATCAAATTAAAAGAGCAATATAATGTGATTGTGATCTCAGGCCCTGGAAACTGGGTTTATTACATTCAGTTCCACTGCTTCCTAGCCATGATATCTTAGCCAAGTTACTTGACTGCTCCATACTTATTTGTAAAATGGGTGTAAATGTAGAATCTAACTCAAAAGGGTATTGGAAGGACTAAATGAGGATACATGTAAAGCCCTCAGCCTCTCCTCTTCCAGGCAAATAAGCAGTGAAACTAACTTTTCAAGTGGAATATATTTCCCTCTTGGAACAATTGCTTTGCATTTGAGGCAAGGGCAATTGTATGAATCTTTAGCCTTCTGCAGAACAAAATCTTTTATGAGTCTTCTGTGTGCTCCATCCTTTCAGTTGGCTGAGCTATGTCAGTCATGTGATTGAGTCTGCTTGGGGTTCACAAGTAGGTGTGATCAGCTCCATTAATCCCTGCAAGGGATAATGTTTCCAGTAGCTTGGAGGAGTAATTAATCTGATTGAGTGAATTAATTACAAGAGGTAAATTTGTTCTTTTTCAAGAAGCCAAATTAAAAACACAGAAGCTGATGACCTAACAATTATACTTTTGTTTTAGGTTTCTGACATTAAGCATGTAAAGACAGACATGAATGTGGTATCCAATAAAAACAGAGCACATCTTTGAAACAGAAATCAGTTCACAAGGAGCTGTGCACTGATGTGCGGGGCATGCACCTTCCTTGGATTTCCTTAAAGTCTCCGAGGACCCCAAGGATTTGAGTAACAGAATTTACACAAGAAATTGTGTAATATATTTAAATTTAAAAGGACACTTTGTTCTTAAATATACCTCTCTGTTTTTGTTTTCCAGTTAGCTCTAGGAATTACACTGCTAAATTAAAAATATCTAACTTCCTAATTAATTTATTTTACTTTTTATTAGTTCTGTGGATCTAGTGTTAGAAGAAATAATCATCCTGCCCATGTATGGACATTCTGGAAAATATTTGAAACTTGAGATCCCACAAAGACCTTAACTGCTGTTTTTTATAGTTTCTCTCCTTTTTGACCAAGGGATAATGGAACACTTGCTATTTGCATCAGCCATGAAGGGCAAAAGAAGTAAAAGCTCTGACCTTTGTCCTCCAGCCAGTAGGGACTATTGCAATAAAGCCAGGGTCATGTGTGTGTGTGTGGGGGGGGATACCAGTCTGAATGGAAGATGTCTCTTGGCTTGGGCCCCTCCAGCTCTCCAAAGATCAATTGCAATTACTTTTGCAATTGCTTGTGCTGTACGCCTCCCATCCACACGAATGGGAGTGTTACCAGAACCTGAGGACATCGTGAAATAGGAACACCATTTTAGATCATTGTCGAGTTCATTATAAGTCTGACTGACAATATTATTAGATATGTCTATAACAATTGGGGCATGCATTCTGTGGATATGTTTATTTCCAAATTTTATCCAAGTTCACTTTTCTTCTTCCTTCTATCTCACTTCTGTGTTTCAAGTTTTCTTGTCTCAGTCTTCCTACCTTTTACCTACTTCTTTTGTCTCCTGTCCTTTTCTCTTTCCAGAACATCCTGACTTGTCTGATTCTTCCTCAAAATAATCTGGAGTAATCATGAAATTCCATAGCTCTTTGGCCCCCAACCCCAACTGTTAGCTTCTATACTAAGGGAATTTACCTTCTTGACCCACCAATTCCTTAACCCAATCTTGGAAAGGCACCATCTAAGAGTTTCATTCCAAAAACAAAATCTGAAAAACAGCCTCTTGGCAGCCCTCTGATGAAACCTATTCAAACAAGGAGCAATAACTTTGCAGAGACCCACCAAACTTTCTTGGGACCTTAGAAATGCTGTGCTTTCCTCAAGCAGGCCTTTTGCTGGGCTAAAGTCAGGCTCTGCTAATGTTCTTCTGTATCTTTTCTGATGCCACCTTTCCATCAAGATAATTCAGGTGGTTACAGAATCAGACCCTGACCCTACATATTGCTCTATGTGGTATAGATCATAGTCATGAAGTATTTGGCTATTTTGGGGTGAGAAGGGGCAGTTGAAGAAGTAATTACTTCTGTTCCCTCTCTCATGAGTGACTGTGAATGTAGTAAACTGACACCAAAATAGATTGCTCACTCTTTGGGACTTTTTCTGTAGTCGTTTGTTTTATAGTCATGCTTTTTTGAACATGTTGCCATAGCAATGAGTGAACTTGAATATCTTGACTATCTTGTCCATAGGTGAATGTCCTATACTACATAATTCCCAGCCAGTAAACCAGCTTCCTTCCTTGAGGCCTGAACATCATCACTACCCAACAATCGATGAGCCTCTTCCACCAAGTAAGCTTTAGTTTTTAAACTCTATGTTTTAACTCTTCCTATCAAATATAAACAGGTCAGTATGAACTTGTATGTAAACATTCAAACTCTTCCTCAACTTCATACCTTACACTGTTATAAAAAAACAATATGGCACCTACTATAAAAATTGTTCGGGTTTTTTAACTAGTGGTTTCAGGATGTGATCTCGAAAAGATAATAGTATTTTCAGTGCTCCTCAACTTCTGAAATGTGGAGCATTTCTTTATAAGACTTGACTAGTATTTGCAAACTGTACATAACCTTTAAGTCCCAAATTTTACTATTTTATATTTAAAAATTCTCAGTTCAAGATAGAATGGTCCTATTATTTGCCATTGGACCTGTTATGTCACAAGCATCTCCATATAATAAAATATTTCAACCCATCAGGACCCATGAACTTGCATTTCCCTCACTATAACTTGCATCAATATGTTACAGCCTCCAATTTCTTCTGTAGTTCTTAGGGTTTTTCAGAAAAATATCAACATTTTTAGAGATAGCATTCAATATCATTTTCTCCTGGTAACTGTAGTGTGTAAGTAATAATTATCCAACTAGTCACTTGAACTTGGGAAAATCATTTGCTCTCTCAGAGACTCAGTTTTGTTATTTATAAAGTAAAGTTTTAATTTCCTCACTTACTAAATGCTAGATTTGGACCAGGTAGTCTTTAGATATAATTCTATCCTTAACCTTATAATAAATTCTATCCATTATAATAAATGTATAAGAAGGAACTGACACCCCACTTAACATCACATATGTTCATGAGTCCTGTAACATCTCTGTTTTGGTTTAGGCTTGTTTTTCAAGCAAAGGTAACCTTTAAGATTTGATAAATTCTATAACTGCAAGATCTTTCCAGGATGCTAGCAATCAATATTTCTTTACATTCTTTTGCTTGTGCTTACATTAAGTGGTAGCAGTTTTGAAAAAAATGCTTATCCCCTAATTCATCTATTCTTACTAATGTGATATATTTTTCATGTATACCATTTTTCTCTGAGTCAGTTGTAATTTATCTGTCAGAAAACAATGAATACCTTTAATCTATAGACATTTAAAAGAACACCATTTGGGGGGGTGGGCCAAGCCAAACATTATATTCTTTAACTATTGACACCTGATTATTTATTTATACATTGACTTATGAGTATCCCATAAATGAATAGTAAAATTTCATTGTCACTATAGATACTTCCTAAGTGACACTTATCTGATAAATATCTACAACATGTTTTCTCCAGGGAAGGAACACTTTTCCCTCAACATATAACCTATCAATGCATGTGTGCATGAATTGACTTCCAATCCATGCAAGAGTAATTACTAGTTATACATACAGATGTTATAAAAAATTAAATATATAAGTCTAATTTTAATAATTGCATTAGCAGCTTTAAATAATGAAAACAAAATTCTCCAGATAGGTTTTTATTTTCTGACCATGTGACACTTAAAACTATTAGAAAAGTTTGTAGTAAAGCCTAACTGAATTTACTTAGATAATGTCAAATAGTACATGGATGATTTCATTCATTCAATAAATATTCATGGAATCCTTACTCTGTGCAGTATAAAATAGACAAAGGTTCTTGCCCTCATGGAGTTTACAGTCTAGATTGGCAGAAACAGATAATAAACAATGTTTGATGATGATAAGTCCTACCAAAAAATAAAAGCAGAGCAGGGTAAATACATCTGGAGTTTGTGGTGGTGGCTGGTTTGCCATTTTAAATAGGGTGGTCAGGTAAACTTCATTGAGAAGACAATCTTTGATGCTAGACTTAGAGGAGGTAAGAAAGTAGTCCCTGCAAGTATTGGGGAGGAAGAGCTTTCTGAAAAAAGATAACAGCCTGCCTAGTGGGTTTGAGGAACAGCAAGAAGACCAATGTGTCTTGAGTAGGCGATGATATCAAAGAGATATTGGGACCCAGATCACATAGGGCCTTTAGATCACATAAGCAATTTGGCTTTAACTCAGGATGAAAGGAGAACATTGTAGGGTTTTGAACAGAGAAGAGGCATTGTCTGACATAGGTTTAAAAGGTTTTCTGTGGTTATTGTGTTGACCTTAAATTGTGAGAAGGAAGGATAGAAGCATGAGACACAACAAAAATTTATTGCAGTGACCTAGGTAAGAAATAATGGTTGCTTGGGCCAGTGGGGAGCCATGGAGTTGGTGAGAAATGGTCAGATTCTGGACATCTATTTTGTGTGTAGGTTTGCTGAAAGATTGGAGGTGATGTGTGAGAGAAAGACAGAAGTCAAAAATGTCCTCAATAATTTTTACCTAGAAGAATACAGTTTCCTTTAACTGAGATGGAAAGGGAAGGCTGCAGATAGAGCAGGTTTGGGTGGGAAAACTCTGAAGCTTGGTTTTGATCATGTTATATTTGAGATGTCATCCAGGTAGTGATGTCAAGAAGGCAATCGAATGTGTGACTGTAGTTCAAGAGAAAAATTGAGACTACAGACATGGTATTGAAGTTGTTAAAGTGAAAAAAAAGTACAATTTTACTTTTGTTACTATAATAACTAAAGATGATACTTTTTTAGGCTCTACATTGTTCTTAGACTTCTTGAAAAATATATAATTTAGTATATGAAAGATACTTCAGTTACAAATGAATTGATGGAAATGAATTATTCTAACTTGCCCAGCATCATTAAGGTATCATTTTCAGGAGTTGTTTAAGCATCACATTGCCAAGTCCATCAGGGCATGCTGAGACCTGAAGTTCCATTTGGAAATTGTTTCTTTATAAAATATGGTTTATAAAATATGTGGAAGTTAATTCTCAACAAAGTAATCCATAAAACATGCTTATAATCTCTAATTCTACTTTATTATTTTCTGAATCTTTACAGAAGTATATTATTAACACTATGCATTCTGTATATTTAATATATTTAATATATCTGGCCTTTATTATTTTCTACTAGTGATTTGGAAATATTGAAACTTGCTGAGAGAAATTATCATTGCTGCACCATTCTCTAGTGTGTGTTTTTCCTTAGAGAATTTATGAGACTGGAGTTTTATCTTTGAAGGAATCCTTTCTTTACTGTGAGTGCCTGGAGGGCAGGGGTGTGTTACTAAGCAATGTGTCCTCAGGAGGTGGCATAGTTTCTAGTTCATACTGAATGCTAAGAAGAGTCTGTTCAATTGAATTGAATAGCACAATACACTTTAAAGATTAATATTCATATTTTGTTGGATAATAGTCATGTTGGGTTCAAGAAAAAAGAAAGTATCCCATTGTTACTAGTTTAGGAATCACTGAAATTTCAAAAACTTTGGTTCAAGATTAATTACCTAGTAGTTACACATACACACAATTTTATCAGTGAGCTCACTAATATTTACAACTAACAGGTGAAAGCTGGATTATCTAAAAATTAATTTTAATCAAAGCCTCCTAGACTTTATTTATGCAATCTGACTATATTTTTCCTTCATTTTGTCTTATAAGTTAAATTTGTTGTTTTCTGATATTTGTTTTTCTTTGGGCATATTTAGCAATTCCTCAGTTAAATGTAAGACATAAGCCTTAATATTCACAAACAGATATACCATGCACCTGTAAAACCATAAATATACTAAATATATTGTTTCTTATTTAAAAAATTAAGAGTTGCTATGTCATTGCCTGAATGATAATTTTTCAATAGAATTGTTAATATCTGATCTACTCCCAGAAGCTATGGCTTTTCTCACTTAAAAGGCCGAATGGTTTCCTTTCATTTGCAGTTATTTTTGCTTTTTCTTCTTTAGTCTAATTTTCAGAATAATTTTATTATGAAGTTATTTCCATCCCGTTTTTACATGTGGACTCTAAAATCTCTGCCCATTTTGGTACAGCAGACTTTGCTTTTCCACATTAAGGTCAGATGTGTATATGTTATTTATTGCCAGCTCTTTCAACTTTGAGGACTTTTTCATCCACCCCACCCTACCCAACCCCTACATCTATTATGTAGTGTATATCTATGATTTCACCTTTAATTTGGCTGTTTAAATTTGAGAAGTAAATGAACTTATATTTACCTTGGGCTCCCCCTACTGTTTGGGAAAGTTGTTTATCAACAGATATTTTAAAAGATTGATGTTAGTAAATAGTTGTTATTGGTTTGGTTTGGTTTTGGTTGAGAGATATTTGGCAGCCACAAGTGTATTGAGTATTCACTGTGAATTTACAACTTATCAAAAAGATGGTTTGAAACCCTAGGTATAAAATCCTTCTCAAGAAGAATGGCAATCAATTAAAGTTGCTAAATATTAGATGGAGATCACCTAAAGTTGCATGTACAATATTTAAAAACTGTAGTTAAACTACAATCTTTTGACTGTCATTTGAGTAGCCAACAAGACTGACAGGCGGAAAAAATTTGAAGAAATGAATAAAATAAACATTAGGCATTCCCTTTAGAAATTATTAAAATTTAACATAGGTCATATTTGAGGAAATACAGTTACTGTTTAAAATGGCCCAGCAGTGAATATGAATCCAGTAGGCTCTGTTCTGAAATGCTAATGCCATGCCAATGCCTCAGAAGTTATGGCATGTTCTGTGGGCAGGGTTGGCCTTCAGCAATTAACCAACGGTGAGTTCTACCTGTAGAAGACCTGGAGGTGGTATCTGTTTCATGTGGATCAATAATTTGTCCTTTATTTTTCTTTTTGTCTTTCTGTTTCATGCTAGACTGGGAAGCTCGCATTGACAGCCATGGGCGGGTCTTCTATGTAGACCACGTGAACCGCACAACCACCTGGCAGCGTCCAACAGCTGAAGCCACCCCTGATGGGATGCGAAGATCAGGGTCCATCCAGCAGATGGAGCAACTCAACAAGCGGTTGGTGATCAGCATGCAGAGAGCCCCTATAAACCAGAGAGAAAGGAGAATGGCAGCTAAAGAAAAACCCCATTACACTTTTCTGCTCAGATTGTATGAGGAGGCTGGAGATTAATTTTATATCTTATGAAACCCATGGATAGTAGGTACTTAGAAAGCCAGGTTTAGAATTTGATGGCAATAGAGGAGCTAAGCCTGAGTATCACTTAAAGGTGGGGAATCCTCTGAACTTCTTGATGGCCCAAGCTTGAAAACAAGTGTTCTTAATCAGGAGAATCATGGAGTCCTCCACACACTGAAAGTATCAGTTTTCCATGAACCCTCTAGAAATTGTATGCAAAATTATACATGGAGGCACATTTTCTGCCAAACTGATCCATATCTGTTGTAAGATTCTCAAAGGGGTCTGGAATTTCAACAGTTGAAAACATTACAAAGATAGGTTCCATAGAATACTACTAAAAGCTTCCTGGTGAAATACTGTTTCATATATGATTGTATCCATGTCTACTCTGATCCCATAGTTGCTATATACTCAGAAATTTTAAAAAATATTTCATCTTAGAAAAATAAATGTTTAAAAATACTTTTTGAGAATTATTTTGCTAAAAACTAGACCCATACTAATGAACTTATAAAGATGTCACTTTTGTTTTTAACCTGAAAACATCTCTGTCATGCTTTAATCTAGTATGAGCCTGATATCAGACATCTTTCTTCTTTAAGGATGGTGGCTTTGGGGTACTTTTAGGAGCCAGGAATACAAAATGCAGACTCAACTTCAGTTGTATCCACATGTCATCTTGTTAGTAAGAAATAAAGAAAAGGTTGAGAGGGATTAAAAAGAATAAAGAACTGGATTTGAGGGACACCCCTATTGATATAAAATGTCTTTGAAACTTAGCTATATCTGCCAGAAAAAATAAAGGGGATAGTTTAATCCTATTAAAAATACACAGAGACAAAAAATTAAAATTCTGGTTATTGTTGTACGCAGAGAAGCATGCTTTAAGTGAAAAGCACAGTATTCTTTTATTTCTTGAGCATTTGGAAGACATTTGCTTTCCATTGTTCCCCATCAGTATCCAAGTGTTTAAGTCATTAATGAGACCCAGAAAGGATTTTCATTGGCAGCTTATTTCTCCACTATCATTCCCACAAAAAGAAAGCATATTACAAAGGAGAACTTGTGATAACCCAGTTATATTAGACATGAATGCAGCAAAAGTTCATGGGAGAGTCCCTTCATGGTGATTGTAACAAAACTCCTATAACTAAAAATGTAGAGGACACAGCAAGCTCATTTTACATAAAGACCTTATTGAGAATCCATAGGCAGACATACCCTTTAGGTCTGTCTTGTCGGAACAGATAAGCTGAAATTGTTTACCAGACTAAGAAATAAGGAGAGCATCATTAGGCTACATCTATAAGAGGTGCAGTTTGAACACTAAAACAAACAATAAATCAGAAGCAGAAATAAGGCCTATGACATAAAAATCCATGAAAATTCATGGTGTTCAGGTTTTATAATATAAAAATTAGGCCAAATTCAATATGAATCAGGCCTCTAAAGAAGTTTTGCAGGCTTTGATATGTAAATTTTTGTGGCTGACCCAGGTGGGAAAGGCAGCCAGACTTCACTGAATAGGAATTTATATTTTCTGCTTCCACCTTCAATACTTATCTTAACCTATTGCTTTCAAGTATTTAAAGTTTTTCAGTGATTTGGTGTGATAAAGGCAGCCACAGAAAATATACTGCCAATCTTTTATCCATCACCTATGTGATCATACAGAGAGGTCACCTTTTGATAACCTTCAGTTACTGGGAAAAATTTACAATGATCACTGTCTCACAGCAAAACAGAATATTTTTCAGTGTTGCAAGAAGGAATTTTCCTTGACTGCTGAGAGGGTGACTGAAAATCAAATGTATTTGTTCAAGGAGACACACACTGAGAAATGTAAAGTGCACAAAAGCAGTGTATGGTTACCACATTCAAACTCACTCACTCCCCAAACACACCACACCCTTCCTAGCCTGTAAGGACTTTGCTTTTACTTTCTTTTTCCATCACCATTTATCCCCTCTATGCCCTCTTCCACTTCCACACACCCCTGAAATGACCGTACTGTTGTCTATATCCATGATGAGTTTTCTCTTTTTTTGTTTCTTTGTTGCTCAATCCCTCCATCCCCCCGACAGCCACCCCTCCACCAAAACTGTCTGCCTGCTCTCTGACTATAAAATAAAAAAATTTTTAAAGGCTTTACAAAATGCTCCCACCACAGGGAAGTCCCTCATCACCTGCCTTCCATCTGGAACATATCTCCATCCTGCAAAGGCCCAACCTAAATGTCATGTCCTTGAAAACTTCCCAGAACCATCCACACACAACCTGTGACTACCTCCTTTACAACCCATGATCAATCATGCCTGCTTTTGTTATAGTCCTTAGCTTTTTACCTTATTCTTCTGTGTACCTCCTTTCAGTGCCTGGAGTTAAAGAGAATTTTGTACAAGACCCTTTGTTTCCCAAGTTAATTCCTACACGTTTAGAACATCTTGAATTAATTAACTCTACTTTTACAAATATTTATTGAGAAAGATAATATAAATGTGTATTATTTTAAATAATTAGCTAAAGTGGATTTTTAGTTTTCTGGATAAAATCATTGTACTACTGAGAAAAAGTTTTAAATAGGAAAAAATGATCTATAATCCTACTGCTCCAAAGTTTAATTTTTTAAAATTTCATCTATCTTCAATTTCCATATGCATGCATAGTCCTTACATAGTTATAAGAACAATTTCAAGTTAGTTTATATTTACTTTTTATTTACTACATTATAAACATTCTCATATTGCTACATAGTCTCAAGATTATCATTTAAATAGTTGTATAGTATTCCAACAAATGAATGTAATTTAGTTAACTTAATTTGCCTTATTGTTTGATGTTTATTGCTTTTTATCACTATTTTGGATAAGGCCTATGGGACTGCTAAATATTAGGATTCTCTTGTAATAAAGTGTTTCCTTGGGGTTCTTTGCCCAGAAGAGCAGACTAGGGAAGATCCACCTGGTTTTGGTATTTAATATCAATACCTAATGTTTCCTAAAGTGGTTCTATGATTCACTCTGCCAACAACAAGAGCTTCACTACCATCTCATCTTTTGCTGTGTTTTGCTGACATAAGAGGTGCTCATGGCATTTTGGTGGTTCTTACATTTCACTTCTTGAAGAAAGGCTCAACTTTTATTCCCATGAGTTTTTCTTTCACCAATTGTAGCTCCTCATGTGAGAATTATCTGTCTTTTGGCTTTGTTTGTTTTGTTTGGATTGGTTTTGAAAAGTTTGTTTTCTCCTTTATTTTGTTTTGTTTATATGTTACTGTGTGTGTGTGTGTGTGTGTTTACAAATTTGATATTCCAGCTGACTTTCTCACCAGTTTTTATAACTGAAAAAAAAAAAGGTGAGGAAGGACATTAAAAGGTAATTCTTGATGAAATAGAAGAGAAGCAACTTTCTGACTTCCTCTCTCCTTTATAAGGCAGAAAGAGCCTCTAAACCTGCAGTCTTGCCCTTGCTGAGTGACCCCTTCACACACCCTGTATATGATGCTTCCCCAATATGCCCCTGAACTTCAGTAAAGTTCGTGGGTGGGGTCTCATACCTGGAGTTTGAGGCTGTTGACGCAATAAAGAGTGAAATAACCAAGGTCCAACTGAGGATATATGAAACAAGTGTTGAAATTGCTAACATTTTTATCATAAAAATTTTCTTATATATAGTCACTGTACTTTGGGGAGAAAAAGAGAGGTTACAACTAACACTTGTTTAAGCCCTGTTCCAGGTATCAATTGCTGAGTAACAAACCACGCCAAAGTTAATGGCATAAAACAATAATAATTTATCATCATCATCATTTCTTTTTTTAAAAAGGATGAGATTTTATTTTTATTTTGTTTTATTTCATTTTATTTTATTAGCAATTTATTTATTTTTGTTTTGATTTTTGTTTAAAATATTACAAATGTCCCTTTTTCTCCTCAATGACCCATTCCAACCCATTTCATCCCCCTCCACAGCCACTCTCCCAACCATTGTTCATGTCCTTGGGTTGTGCATATATGCATATAAATCCTTTGGTTAATCTCTCCCCCTCTACCAACCCGCCCTCCTCCATCTATACTTCCATATCATTGAATCTATTCTGTTCATCAGTTTATTAAGTTCTTAAGATTCCACATATAAGCGAGATCATGTGATGTTTGTCTTTCTCTGCCTGGCTTATTTCACTTAGCATAATATTCTCCAGATCCACCCATACTCTCCCAAAGGGTACCAGATCTTTCTTCTTTACAGCTGTGTAGTATTCCATGGTTTATATGTCCCACAGCTTTTTTATCCACTCATCTACTGATGGGCACATGGGCTGTTTCCAGATCTTAGCTATTGTAAATTGAGGTGCATATATTCTTTCTGATTAGTGTTTCAGGATTCTTAGGAAATATTCCTAGAAGTGAGAACACTAGGTCAAAAAGCAGCTCCATTTTTAATTTTTTGAGGAACCTCCATACTGTTTTTCATGGTGGTTGCACCAGTCTACATTCCCACCAGCAGTGTACTAGGGTTCCCCTTTCTCCACATCTTTGACAGCACAAGTCGTTTGTTCATTTGTTAATGGTAGCCATTTTTACATGTGTGAAGTGATACCTCATTGTGATTTTAATTTGCATCTCTCTGATGATTATCGACATTGAGCATTTTCTCATATGTCTCTTGGCCATCTGTATGTCCTCTTTGGAGAAGAGTCTATTCAGGTCCTTTGCCCATTTCTTAATTGGGTTGTTTGTCTTCCTCTTGATGAGTAGTATGAGTTCTTTGTACACTTTGGAAATTAGCCCCTTATCAGATTCATCCTTGGCAAATATGTTTTCCCAGACCTTGGGGTTCCTTTGTATTTTGAGGCTGTTTTTTTTGCTGTGCAGAA